CCCCCCCCCCCCCCGCCCCCAACGAAATCCTAAGCGGCCTTTTTTGCGGGTGTGGGCTTCTCGGCGTAGGGAGCCCAGAGAGGCCTCCCAGCCCCCCTGCGCCATCACAGGAAGAGCCTGAGGCCGGGACTCGGCGCCGGGCTCCCGGAGAAGGCGAGTGCAGAGGACTGGGGTTTGCTGGCGGCGGGCAGACGCGGGAGCGCTTGGAGCCTGCTCCAAGCCGGCGGGGGAGCGAACTGACAGAAATGCGGATATAAATTTTTAAAAATAATATCAGTTTTATTAAATATTCGAGAACGGATCCAGAGGTCGGATTTATACAGGAGGGTAACACGAGGGGATTTATTTATTTATTTATTTTCTCCTACTTGGCTAAACAAACGACATTCACTTTTTTTCTTTTTGTAATTTTCCCTCTTTTTTCCCTTTTTAAAATGAGATTGGAACACTGACGGTGCTAAACATAAATATAAATACAGAGACCACAAATACAGCTAAAAATATTCACACAGAAACGGTCACAGTTTGTAATATGCCATAATGACCCCCAGGAATCTTTAAATACAATTTGCCTGGTCTGGGCATTTGCTGGGGCAGAGGGGCCGGGCTGGGGCTGCGGGGAGGCCCTGGGGGTGCTGTAGGGCCAAGGCTCGCCCTCCTTGGGCCACCCACCCTCCCAGGCTGCCAGGCCAGGCCCTGAGGCCCTATAGCAGAGGCCCCAGGCCCGGGAGCCGGCTCTCTCGGCGAGGGGGGTGGGGGGACACGACCTCATTTGGAGGGAAATCGTGGAGTCTGAAACGAGGTTCAGGGAACGTGCCCCCCAGGCCTGGGCGGGGGAAGGGGCCTGCAGATAAGCCGAGAAGGAGCTAAGAGGAGGAGGTGCGTGGTGTGGAGTTGTGCGGAGAGGGAGGGGGTCCAGAGCTGACTTTCAGGTCCTCTTTTGACTTCCTAATTCTGTTTTAGGGAGTCCAAACACATCAATTGTGCCAGTGATAAATACAGACTGTGTGATTAGGGGAGAGTTAGGATGAGCTTGGGGCAAGAGAAGGGTGGCAAGGACAGTTCTGGTCACTCTTTCTGCTTCTCCTCTTCTGTCTCTTCCCGCTTTTCCTCTTTTCCACCAAGGCTGTCAGCGGCGGCCCCTCCGCCGCCCCCCGAGAGTGTGGACGTGAGATTAGATTCTTTTTTCCACTTCATCCGGCGGTTCTGGAACCAGATTTTGATCTGTCGCTCGGTCAGGCAGAGTGCATTGGCGATCTCGATGCGCCGGCGCCGAGTTAGGTAACGATTGAAGTGAAATTCCTTCTCCAGTTCCAGTGTCTGGTACCGCGAGTAGATCTGGCGACCGCGCCTCCGGTCCGCTCCGTAGCCGACCCCTAGAGATCCAGGCACAAAACACACTAAAAACCATCAGCAAAGCGTCCTTCCAAGATGCTTACGCCTACCAAAGTCCTGACCTCCCAACTTAGCCAGCAGATCGCAGCCCCCTCAAGCACTAGCCTTCTAAATCTTTTTGTCTGCCCCACCCCCACTGGGGTTACACCCAGGACCCCAACTTACATAGTCCTCCCATAGGACATAGATAGATGTCCCAAAGAACTGTTGGGCGTGGGGTGGGGGAGCAGGGCAAAAAACAGGCAAAAAGCTGCCAAAAAGCTGATATTTGAAAATCTCAATTACTGAGGATAAGGGCCCATTTCTCAAAGATTGAGCTTCCCCACCTCCCCAAACATCCTACCTCTGTGGAAACTTCTCCCCACTTTTCTGTGCTGTCCTCTCCCTTCTTCTCAGCCTGAACTCTACTTTGGGGGACTCCCTATCCTTTCCCCTCCCCTCAACCCCCTGCCCTGTTCTTGCCCCTTCAGCTCGCCTTGGAGCCCAAGTCAGTCAGGGGCCGAGGGGGGCCAGGCCCCTGTGAGCTCGCGCGGGAGGCAAGCAGAGGGGGCAGAAGAGAGGGCCCTGTCTCGGCGTCGGCGAGGAGACGAGCGTGATTGTTTTTATGGGGCCATAAAAAACTCTCTCCGCCCGTTCTTCTAGGGAAGCTGGTCATAAAGCCAGTTCAGTTTATTTAATTTATATCTCAGAGCTGTAAAACTCACCACTGTGCGAGTTCATTCGCTGCATCCAGGGGTAAATCTGGATACTGGCTTTCTGGTCCTGGGGCGCAGTCCTGCCCTGCTCAGAACTAAAATCCTGAGCGATTGAGGTCTGTGTGTTATGTCCTAAGGTGTTTTGTCTGCAGTTTGAGAGCATGTCTTTCTCCTGGTAAAAGGAATTAGATCCATAGTCATACGGCCCCCGGCTGGAACTGAACACGACATTCTCCTGTGGCGAATAAAAGGGAGTCGAGTAGATCCGGTTCTGGGCAACGGCTGCTCCATAGGTCGAGAAATGCCTCACTGGATCATAGGCGGTGGAATTGAGGGCGACGTTGGGGAGGACGTCCTGGCCCCCGGCGAGGTGGCAGGATAAGGAAGGGTTAGTGAAGTAGGAATTCATCCCTTTGCCTTTACCTGGTCGGGCTATGATTTCTTTAATATTTATTTCTGTCTCCAGTTTGTACTCGGAACTAGATGGTTATAGGGACGGCTCCAATCCAGGACAGACAAAATGACAAAGTCAGCTGACCCCTTTCCAGCCAATCACAAGCAAGATGTCAAGAAGGGGGAAAAAAATCGCTTCTGCTTCTGTTGATTCCCTAGTTGAGACTAAGTGTGTGCTTTGAAAGTAAGACTTGGGTTTCTTTTTAAAATATATGTGTAAAGGGAACTGATTTGGGGGTGAAAGAGGGGTGCCTATCCTTGAGCAGGGCCTTGGGCCCACAGAAAGAGAGATGTACTCCAAGAAATCTCTCATACCCCAGCTAACTTTGCTCTGCTGTGGTCAGAGTCTGGGCGGGAGAAATCCCTGTATTTTCAATCTAATTTCAT